TGACCAAATTTTGTTTCTGATGAACCATTTCTGAGTTCTTCGACGGATAATCATTTAAAAATCTCGATTCTCGATCATCGAAGGATTTCAATATCCTGCTCGCCTCATTCTGCAATCCAACAGCTTTCCAGGCTTCAGCAACAAGAACAATACTGTTAATTCCTGCAACCACCCCGGCATCTCTCATCATCTGGAGAATCTCTTCTGCCTTCCATGGCTGCTTTGCCTCTCCATAACCCCATATAAGTGTTTCAAACGTTTTTATATTGGGAGAGACTCCGTGTTCGTGCATTTTGGCTAAGATTCGCATCGCATTATCCATTTTAGCAGCACTGCACCAACCACTGATGATGGTGGTGAAGGTTACCACATTAGGCTGAATATCAAATTCTTCCATTTCAGCAAGAAGGGCTTCTGCTTTATGAGGTTCTCTTGCTCTAACATACCCTTTGGCAAGAATGCTATAAACCTGAGCATCAGGTGCTATTCCTGCCTGCAACATTTTATGAAATATATCCATGCATTTAGTCATATTACCCATTGAGCCCCAGGCATTCATCTGATGACTGTATGTGACGATATCAGGTTTAACTCTGACTTCTTCCATCATCGTTAGGACCTGATCGAATAAAATCGTACTAATTATGTTAATGTATTGATTTTATGGAAATCTACTTACATATCACATAATTCTTATGTATTTACATGTCTAATATGTAAACTTACATATATGCTTGCATAAGTTTTTGGTGTGAAAATTTTATGCATGAAAAATGTGTGGTTCACTTTTGAAAGTAGGTGATAGTGGTAAATTTGAGGGGATTTTAAATATTTGAGTGCTATGCATGTAAATATTGAAGTTCGAGTGTTAGATATGTAAATACATAAGAATTGTGTGGCATGTCTGTAAATGCCCTGAGGAATTTACTACCTAGCACACAATTCTTATGTATTTACATATCTCCACCTAAACTTTCATATTTACATACATAGCACTGTGGTTCTCTAATCCTATGCATTAAAAGGTGTGTTTCACTTTTAAAAAATGACAATAACGTTATTTTTAATTTGATATTAAGGATTTGAGTTTTATGTGTGTAAACATGAAAGTTTGTGTGCTATGTAAAATATAGAATATGTAAATGCCCCTATAACTAAATAAAGCAGCTTGAATTCAGAACTTTTTCGAACTGAACTTTGGCATATGAGAGCAAACTCAATTAGATAAAACATAACTCACATAAAAAGAAGTTGAGTTTAAGCTCCCCAAAGACAGCAGTAGCAACCAATAGGTCTCCAAACTTAGGAAGAGACCATATTTAAACAAACATTACTTCTTTTCAAGTTAAAAATATCATATAAATAATGGGGCAGAAAATTTGTGCCACTGTAGAAAAAAACACAAGACACCATAAAATTTGTACTTACTTCATGAAGACCTGCCATATTTTCTGCATCCATGAGACATTTAATCAAAGTGTTGAAGACAATAACATTTGGGTGAACTCCAATACACTTCATTTCGTGCAGACACCGCAGCGCATCTTTCATATTCCCTTCCTTGCAGTAGCCGCCAACAATAATAGCGAGTGAGCGTTCATTGGGACAAATATTGTTCGCCAATTCCATGAAAATCTCCCCGGCTCTGTTTGTTTCTCCATTTTTGGCATAAGCTCTTGCTAAGGTGTTGTAGGTGACAACATCGGGTTCTATGCTAGAAGCAGACATCTTGCGCACAACATTCCAAGCTTCGCTCAGGTTCCCATGGTCACACCAAACTTTGACTAGTATATTGTATGTTTTCCGATTTGGGCTCGCTTCTGGTTCAGATAACATCATATTTAAAAGTTTTTGTGATTCTTCAGGCCTATGGGCGATACCGTAACCTTTAATGAGGGTGTTGAAGGTACTTGTAGTCAATTTACAACCACTTATTTTCATCTGCTGAAAGGTTTTTAAGGCTTCATCAACCTTTCCAGCTTCAGAAAAGGCGTTAATTACAGCATTAAAAAATATAGAATCAGGCTTCAGATTGTTCTTTTCCACATCAGAAATTAATGATGTAATGAAATCAAACTTCTTCTGATCAGTCAAAGCAGTTAGTAGAGTTGTATATGTTACTAAAGAAGGCTTATGCTCTTCTACTAAGCCATGAAAGACAGATTCGGCTTCTTGTGGATGTTTTTTTTCTATGAGTGTTCCCATCAACTTAGTTTTGGAACGAACTGTTGGACAACTCCCCCCAAGTAAGCAGATGGAACAGCTATGTTCCCTCCCTGGAGCGAAATAATTGTTTCCTTGAATTTCGGATTTAATGGAGAGCTCCTTGTAAACCAAGAAGATAAAATTTCATAAGCTAGTGAGTGACCAAGAAAATAGATAACCACAAAATGAACAGCATGGTCATTTTTCAAAATACTAATAAAGAGTTGAGTAAAAATATAAATTAGATTATCCATATGAGGGCTATGGTGTAATGACATGCAAGGACTGAGAGGAAAATTCAATAAATAAAAGGGTAAATGATCTACTGAGTATATCAATAAGTAGAGAATATGAAAAGGAAAACCACCAAAGATTACCAATTTTAGAGAAAAAAACAATGATCGACTCCTGCTTAGGCTTTATAAGCATAACCAACACTAAAAAAATGTTCTGCTTGGGATGATAAATCTAATTCAATCAAGGAGAGTGAAAAATAGTTAAAAATAGCTAAGAATCAATGAACAAAAATAAAAAAAAATTATGAAATTCATCAAATTAAAATTTATGTTTTCTTGGCGCCGTTGTAGATTTCATTAGTTGTGTGGAGAGTCGTACCTGCGGCAGATTAAGTCGGCATAACACGTTTTCTTCATAGAGCGAAAAATAGGATCAGCAACTCAACTCTATGATAGCATTTATTTTGTAGTAATACCATCAAGGCCCATATTTGTTTATTCCAAAAATCCTAGTAAAGACTATTTAATGCATTGGCTATTGAAAAGAAATCTGCCAACTAGTACCAAACAAATCACAGCAATCTTAATATATATATATATATATATAAATTTTTTATAAAAGAATGGCCGGAAGCTATGAGCCCCTAGCCACCCTCATGTGCCTAACAACTCGATCCCGCACTGCAAGGCAGATGCACTAGGACGAGATTGAACCCGTGACTCCAGGGGACTTACGCTAGTCTGCATTACCAAAGTGTCGCGACAAACGGCAATTAATATATATATATATATATATATATATATATGGGCATTTACATAAATGCCACATAATTCTTTTGTATTTACAGATCTAACACCTAAGCTTTCATATTTACATGTATAACACTCAAATTTTTAACATCAAATAAAAAATACCACTATTAAATACTTTCAAAAAGTAAAATACAAATTGCCATGCATATGATAAGGTGGCATATGGATATGTAAAAATTAAAGTTTAGGTGTTAGATATGTAAATATATAGGAATTAAGTGGTATGTATGATAATCATTTTTTTTTCTTTTTATAAATGCAATGTAGCTCAAACATTCATAGATGTGCAGAGCTCGTCTGCTCTTAAAAAGCTAGTAGACGAAAAATTGCAAGAATTTTACTATAATAAATCAGCTGTACCTTGGTAGGCCAATCATGAACCAATTCTTTCGGATGCACAGTTGCCTCCCCTATTTCTTGGCTTGCAGTCTTGATTAACTTTACACCATGTTCTGCCACGGTACTAGAGTACGTACTACTCTGATAAGCTTCACCAGACAAATTAAAATGCCATTATGATGAAATTAAATGAACAAAAGTGAAAAATTTTATGAAATCCGGGAAGGAAAACAAACGGTTAATTTCAAGTTTTATGAGTGATCTATAACAAGCAATTGCTCAGCTTATATAGATGAAACCTTCCAAGCTTCCTTTTCTTTGTGGGTATATGCATGCACTAATGTAATTTAAAAACTGTGGCATCCTAATAAATTAATGAAATGAGGTTATTGCAGGTCATTCTAACGGCTTACTGAATTGATAAAATTGTTGTAAAAACTATTTATTCAAGGAAGAAAATTATTATTGTAAAATTTAGGAGAACTTTCTTAGAGGAAAGACTCTCTAACTTTCTCATTAAATTAATACATGCAAATAACAAATATATACAACTTAAACTAACCCTAATACAATTGGAGGGAAATTCAAATCATCATGATAAGAAGGAAAGAAATAAAATTGCAATAATGGATAATTAATGGAGAGTAAATTCTTCCCCTCAAATGTAACTACAAATCAATAATTTCTAAATTGTGGGTGGACCCATATGGTCCATAGGTATAGACATATCAACACTCCCCCTCAAGTTGGGTTGTATATATCATACATCCCAAATAAAGTGGTGTTGAGAAAGAGCCTTGGTAAGGATGTCAGTAATTTTATACTGATTTGGGATATAGCTTAGATGGACAACCCCTCTATTGAGCTTCTTAGAGATGAAGCTCCTGTCAATCTCTATATATTTGGTTCAATCAGGGTGTACTGAATTCTTTGAAACACTGATGGATGATTGACTATCACTGAATATCTTAATAGTGCTTTTGTTCTCCATACGTAGTTCCACCAATAATTTCTTAGCAAGTCCCCTTCACAAATTCTTAGGGTTAAGGACACAATACTCAGATTCTACACTACTTCTTGCCACCACAACTTGCATTTTACTTCTCCAAGTAACCAGGTTACGACGTACAAATGAACAGTAATCCGTGGTAGATCTTTTGTCAGTCCGTTCTACTGTCTAGCTAATATTAGCGTAGATCTCAATGTTATGGTTCTCAATTTTCTTGAATATCAATCCACATCTTGAAATCATTTTTTGGTACATTAGTATTCAAAAGACCACTTCTAAATGATTTTTATTTGAAATAATTCATATGTTGGCTCACTACAACCACAAAAAAATAATGTCAGGTCTTTGTATGTGATAAATACATAACTTTTCCACATGTCTTTAATACCTTCCTTATTTCAATTGGGGTGTTATCATCTCCTCTTGATGCTCATCGATTAGGATCCGTATGAGTATCTATTAGTTTGCACTCCAACATTCCTACCTCGTTTAACAAGTCAAATATATATTTTCTTTGAGATATGACAATGCCTTTTTTTTTTATTTAGCCGCATCCATTCCAAGGAAATATCCTAAAGTTCTAAGATCTTTGATCTCAAACTCAAGAATCATCATTCTTTTGATTGCTTCAAGTTTCCTTATGTCATTTCATGTAAAAATAATGTCATCTATATACACGACAATGATGACTATCATATCTTTTTAATTTGATTTCATAAACAAAGTGTAATCATCTTGACACCGATAATACTCATTGGCAGGAATAATCTTAGTGAACCTTCTGAACTATGCTCTAGAAGATCATTTTAACACAAACAATGATTTCTTTAGCTTGCAAACTAGCTGATTATTTGTGTTGTTTTTTAATCCTAGAGGTATCTCCATATACACTTTTTCCTCAAGATCCCCATTAAGAAATATATTTTTGATGTCCAGTTTATGTAAAGGTCAGTTCTAGTTGACAACCAATAAGAATAATACTTTTACTATGCTAAGTTTCACCGCTGGTACAAATGTCTCCTGGTTGTCGATCTCATAGGATTGAGTGAGCCATTTTGCTACAAATCTAGCCTTAAACCTTTCTATGCTCTCATATGCTTTGTATTTAACACTAAATACTCATTTGCACCCTACAATTCTTTTCCCAAGTGGCAGAGTTGTGATCCAGATATCATTCTTTTCAAGGGCAAGAATCTTCTCTTTTCTAACTTTTTTTCCTAAACAGAGATAGATAAGACCTCTTGGATTGAATTTGGGGTCTGCATATTATTCATATTTTGAAAAAAAAAAGTAAGAGGAAGATAATTTTTCTTAAGCTGCAAATTCTTCTTTCGGATGTTTTGTGCATTCTTGTACTCCTCTTGATTCTCATGATGTGTTGACCCAACCTGCGTGAATACTTAGGACGTGTGAAGTTGGTTATAGCAATTTGCATTCCTGATTATGCATATTATACCTTACATGCTCATTGGATTTTTTTTTTTTGTTTTTTTACACTCGAAGTTCATAATTGGTGGGAGTTGTGGGAGGATTTAGGGGAGTAGTAGATTCATTTTCAGATTTATTTATGACTGAGGACAAGAGTGAGTTCATCATTTATAGGGAGAAAGAAATGTTAAATCCATTTAAATTCTGTGAAATTGTTTAGTAACTTATATCAAAATTTAAGTTTGCTAGTTTAAATATGAATTTGAAATTACATATAGATAATGTACTTACTAAGACTAACTTAATTTAATTTCATTTAGTTTAATATAATTTGTATTATTTCTTAATCAATCAACTATTTATCAAGTTAATGATTAATAATAATTATGTTAAACTAATTAATCACTAAGTACTATTTTATTATTAATCATTAACTAGTTGTTTATTATGTTATATTATCATTAATTAGAATTCACTAAACTAATCAAACATTAATCAATACTTCAACTTTCATTAACTAATCACGAATCAATTACTTACCAAGCTTATTTCAATTGTAATTAAATTAATAAAATTAAAATTAACTTAAGATATCCTTTTATCTAATCATTAATCGGTAAGCAATTAAATTTCTTATAATTAACTTAAATAAAGTTAAACTAAAAACAACTTAAATTTAATAATATCTATATTAATTTCTATCTAGTAAAGAGTTTTTAATTAAGCAAATTAAAGCAGAAATTTTAACTTGATTACTCTCAAGTAGCCCTTGCTACCCCCTCTTCCCCCTCTTCCCCCGAAACCCTCACCTACAGTAAATTGAAGCTAGCTGGGAAGGTTGCGACGTAATCGAAGTGTCCGAGGAAGGCTATCTCCATTACTCGCACCCCCTTTCAATTAGTGTAAATCCTGTAAATCTGCCCGCCAGCAAGATTTACTAAATCTTGGATATAAGGCAAAACTGAGCAGAATACGAATTTAAATAGTATTAATCACAGAGTTGAAAAGGGATATATAAAAACGGCAAACTTAATATAAACAATCCCCAAATCAGACAGGATTAAGCTAAATCTTGCCCAAATAAGACACCATACAACCCATGAGAAATCATTCACAGCATAAAACAGAAATTGCACTTCATGCAATTTCTAGCAATGCATCAAACGTGAAAGATCAAAGGGCCACTACTTGTCTGTTTACATTTCTACCTGGTTCTTCTCCCACAAGCTTCGTCTCCAAATGCCCTCGATTCTTCATCCGTCACTTGCTGCTCAACACGGCTTCTCTATCCAGCGAGTGCAGCCGAGCCCTCACAGTAACCACAGAGAGAGTGATAGGACGGGGACGAAGAGCAGCAGCTCGTTGCGTTTGTCTGCGGAGAAGATAAGGTGGACCCCTTTTCATGATTTTATTTTTGTCTATTTTTTGGTAATTGAATGTTCTTGTTTTTTATTTTATTTGATTAATTATTAGTTAATGACTATTTGTGCATTTTACCTACCATTATGATTCATTTCATTCATATTTCTTGTAAATTTATATTTTTCTTATTTTAGTCCTACCAATTTGCACTAAGGTAATTATGCTATTTATATTTAGTGTATTGTCTGGACCAATAATTAGAGATATCGAATGTCACACGATACGATAATCAACAAATACAGATTAATTTAAGATCATGTTGTAATTTTGAGATTTATAAGGATGTAGATTATTTAAAAGTTATAATCATTAACTAAATAAAGGCGTTCATATCTACGTTTGGTGATCTTACACGTTGGGCAAAGATTGTACATCCTATTTTCTCTATATTGAGTGATGAATGTTACATTGAATTGAGATATAATGAGGTATAATTAAATTTAAACATGTTAAGTTTCAAGGCATTTCTATCTAGAGGATGAAAGATCTATTATTCTACTTTTTAACATCTTATAGATGGGTTGAGTTATTTCACGAGAAGCTATTTAGTGGGTTAAAATATAGTTTTATATATAATTATTATTGGTATTAGACTTAATATGATAATTATCATGATAATGTTGTACGTTTCACTCTCCTGCATCAATGGTCGAAGCAATTACACATTTTGGATTTCTTGAACTCTTGTCGAGCATTGCATTTTGGTTTATTGGTTCTAAGCCTCTCCTAGATTTAGTCTTTGAGAAAGGTACCAACCAAATAGTGCTTGCTTGCACTTTTAGATGGGTCCCTCTCAAGGAACTAGGAACACCATAACTTAATTCATTCTCTTGACTCCCCATTATGTGATATCTATTAAACCTTAACTCATTGTCTTGTCTAATGGTCAAGGTTAATCTAAATTTTGAAGTTTTGTACCCAACTCATCTTCTTGCACAACTAATCTGTTGTGATCTAATAGGCTTCTATGATAATATAGAATCATCAAATACTCCAAAGTCCTATAATTCATGTATTTTTTTGTTTTCTTATGGACAACGCATTAAATTTCTCCTCAAATGTTTTGCAGCAGTTACACCCATCTTCCTCTTGAGTACCCTTATGTTAGGCTTATCTCTTTTCATGATTTTTGAGGTTCTTCTAAGAAGTTACCTTCACATTTTTATCCTAGGGTTCCTTGACAACTTTCATGTGACTACATATCTCCTTTTATGGAACCCACATAGTCTTGCTCAGCATCTGTTGAGTTGAACACATACACCCTCTCAACTTCATAGACACCATGATCAAGTCCTTATATGATATTTTAATTATTTTATGTTTATCATCTCTTCTAATGGAAAAGCTTGATTTTCAAATAGTGCGATGAGAGAATTATATTTTATTTGATAATTTATAATAGTATATCTCAGCGAGAAATGTTCTTAGATTTTACTTGTGGGATATAATTAGCTAATGAAGTTTGAAATCTTAGAAATTGTGATCCATCACAACTAATAGTGTCAACATTAAACTTAACAAAAGATCATAACTTGAATTGACATGAAACATTTGAAACTAATGAAGTTTGAAATCTTAGGAATTGTGATCCATCAAAACTAATAGTGTCAACATTAAACTTAACTAAAGATCATAACTTGAATTGACATGAAACATTTGAATTTAAGTCAATCTACATATAATTCATATTAGGTTCCAGTCAACTTAAGTGCAAAAAGTAATCAAATTATACTTTGTTTTGTCAAGTTCAAGTGAATCTAGAAACGATAACTTCACTAATGACTCTTTATATAAATGCAAATTTCAAAAGCTACTCAACTAATTACAATATCATTACAACATTGTTTTTTTTTTGGCTCATATATGCATTTGATGTTTATCACAATAAATTCCTTACTTTTTTGCAATTTTGATAATTAAATTTTAATATTCGTTTAAAAATCATATTCAAATTCCACATTCTCATATCAAATCCTTTTGGGCATTACCTATATTTTTTCTATTTTTATTTTGAAGAAATCATTTTATTTTTTCTTTGATTCAAACTCAGCTCACGAATACCACACAAAATAATTCATTGTTGTCATCTAGTGACGTAAAAACAATAACATTTCTAGATTTTTTCAATGTAGGCGCTAACAACGAGGTTTATAAGTATTGACATCCAACATTTAATCAATAAATTCAAACTTTAAAGATCACAACAAACCTTTTAAAGACATTATCTTTAGTATTATAATCATGCCACATGTGGCTATTTGGATTTCACTTAATAAGTCTCATTCTCAAAATCAGGCACCTACCAAAAGTTATCTTCTTCAAAGTTAAAAGTATCATCCTTTGAGCTCTACAAATTCATTTTCTCATGCATGTCATGATAACATGTAATTTTTTATCAATATTTCATTTCTTTCATGTTAACATGACACAATAAAAGCTCTAATCCTACAAAGACATCTTTTTTAACATAATCAATGTTTGATGACTTTAGTTGCATTTTCTTCTCATACATAAGTGAAGGAATCCTTAGCTATGAAAATAATTGATTGACAAACATCATTCTTTTTTATTGTGAATTAAATAAAATGATGCTTTGCCCAAAATAATAATAATAATAAATTTGATTATAAATAAGATATTTATTTATGATACAATTAAAAAGAGTAAAACACCTAAATGTGATTATTTTAATCCCATAACATATAAAAATATTAATTATTTTACATCTTTTAAGAATAGGCTGAAATAATAACAAAAGAAAAATATTTCAACCCTAACTTAAAACATTTGATGACTAATTTTATAATTTGGTACTCAGTTTAAAATCATCTCATGTAAACAATCAAACAACCTATTTTTGACATTTCACTTAAAAATAATATTTAAATTATTTATTTTTATCTGTATATATTAAAAATAATAATTTCTCATGATATTTTATGCAATTTTGATCATCTTTTAACATTTTTTAAAAAATGGTGCATTTATAAACATATCACACAATTCTTATATATTTACACATCTAACCCCTAAACATTCATATTTACAACAATACCGCTCAACATCACAACAAAATTATCGTCATCACTTTCTTTTTCATCTTTTTTAAAAGTGAAATACACATTCCTCATACATGTTCATGACACCAAAGTGTTAGGTATAAACACCAACTTTTGAGCGTTAAATATGTAAATATATAAGAATTGTGTCTCTGTGTTTCGTGGTCTGTTGGTAGAGCAGCCTCTCTGAAGGTCGTAAGTCCCCTCAGGTATCGGATTTGAATCCCCAGATGGTGAAATGTCTCCTCAAGGCAGGTGGTACTCAAATTTATTTGTACACCGCATCGGCTCCCAGACCTAACAAAAGTTAACGAAACGACAGTTCCGTTAAAACACACACACACACACTTGTGTGTTATGCATGTAAATTTCACTAAATATACATATTGATGGTTCAATGTCTCCTCAAGGCAGGTGTTACTCAAATTTATTTGTACACCGCATCGGCTCCCACACCTAACAAAAGTTAACGCATTAAGGGTTGATCGACAGTTCCGTTAAAGCGCACACACACACACACACTTGTGTTATGCATGTAAATTTCACTAAATATACATATAAATCCAATTGAACACAAATCATTGCACAAAAAATATGGTATGAAGAAAAAGTATAACCAAAATAGGTCCGAAAATGAGAAAATAGATGCAAAATTCACAGCTTTGACAAGAACAGTTCTGAAACTTATGCTAATAAACACATTCTGAAACTCCTATCACTACACAAAGAATCTGATCCAGCCAAAATTCCAATAATTAAAACTCCATAAATGCTCTCACATGGAATCTCAAAATAGAAAAAAAATAATAAAAATAAAAACTTTTATAGCACAAACTGTTTGAAATCCTCCAAAATCTATACTAATGTCTGTGAGAATGCTTTCTGTTATTTCTGTGATGGCTGTTTCCTGCATGGCGATATCGATCAATAATTCTGAAAGCGACGGAGATGATGCCGACGGCAGCCATGGCGTAGAGTGCTTTGTAAGGCGAAGAAGCGAGAGCACATAGGAAGGAATAGTATCCGGAGATGAGGAAAACTTGGGTTAGACTGAGTTCTCTTCGTCGGGCAAGAGGTATGGGGATTGAGAGGAAGTAGTTATCTGGTCTTGATCCAGAGAGGCCATGGAGGATGATTCCAATACATACGAAAGAGTCGATGAACCCTGGGAAGCTCGATCCCATCCCAATTCTCTGAAATCAAGGTAAATTTGTAAATTCAAAAAAAAAGTATATATAGGTAGATAATTTGAATTTAGCTGCGAATTATGAATATGAAGTGTATTATGACATGTTTCTTCCTTGAATGGTTGTTAAGGTTAGCAAGATTTCTGTTGTGTTGAGAAATGGCTGTTGCTATTGTTGAGTTCTCATGAAATGAAGTAGCATATTCATATTTGTCAAATTTTCTTGGGAAATTTACATACATGCCACTTAATTCTTATGTGTCTACATATCTAGACACTCAAAATTCAAGTTTTACATATACTCTAACTTACCTATGCATGAAAAGTGTATTTCACTTTTAAAAAGTTAGCATAAAAGTTTGCTGATGTAATATTAATGATTTGGGTGGAATAAATGTAAAAAAAATAAAGTTTACGTGTGCAAATATATAGGAAAATAAAGCTCAAATCATAGACATTGTCGAGGTATTAGGACATGGAACTGATAAACATGCAGCTGAATCGATGAGAAAACTACTAATTAATAAAATAATGAAAATATTAGTGCCATTCTTATATTTTCAAACCACAACAACCATATATTTCAAACAATCTTAAGAAAATAGAACCAAAGTAATGCATGTGACATGCGTGTTCGGCGGCAACTTGGCTTTTACATTAAATAGGATTTATCAAATCCACTAAATCCGATGAATCTGAATTTATCAACTCCAGTGTGTGACGGAGGAGCTTGCAAACGACGATAAAATAAATCCGTCTCGCAATCAGATTTAACAAATCTGGATTTACATCATAAAAGAGATGGAATGCGAGAACAAAAAGACGGGACCTGAGAAAATTCAATTTAACGAAGTGTTTGATTTAATTTTATTTTTTTGGTATTTCGCTGGATTTAAGTTAAATCCATGACTACATCCCATTAATAGTATGGTACCGAACAGCGCCTCAGGATTCCAAATGTATAGGATCACTGATTTGCAGACAAAATGCGACCCACCCTCCTCCATTATAGTGATTTTTAATAGATTCTTATAGCAAAATTCAGAAAATGATTTACATGTAGCCTAGCAATCCATCATAAGTCCATTATCAGGCTAATAATGAATAAAATGAGAGACATCTATAGCCAGACAAGAAAGCAAATAATGCAGAGGATATGGTGTGTAGAAGCTAATTAGGCATATTCTAAGACAAGAAAGAATAAAAAGCATTTCAGCCAAAAAGATAAAAAATAAAATGGCTTCATTTCAAATGGTCTACAAGTAAGATCCATTTCATAAGTTAATTTATCAATTGGTTGTCACACAGAAAAAAAAAATAAGGGGCATTTACATACATACCCACCCAATTCTTATGTATTTATACATCGTGAAAAGTGCCAAAATGGCCCCTTTATACTACTCAAATCTTTCATATCAGATAAAAAAATTCAATTTAGTCCTCATACCCTTTTAATATGTGCTAAAGAAATCTCCAAAGAGTGCTATTAAAAAATTCTGGGGAGTATTTCGACAATTTTGTATACACCGGGACTAAAATGACCCGACGTAAAATAGTGAGAGGGCATTTCAATCATTAAATCTAATACCTAAATTTTACTTTTTACATTGATACGACCCAAAGCTTTCATATCACAAAAAAAATAGCACTATTTTAACTTTTAAAAAGTGAAATACACCTTATCATTCATAGGTAAGATGACATGATACCGGAGTTAACCAATAATGACGGGAAAGGCAAATACAATTACAACACTCAAATGGACTAAATGGAAATAGGAAATAACACACACGACACACGATTAGGGTAGGATCCAGGGTGGTGGAGGTGATTAGGGAGGGTTTAGAAGTTAGAAGGCGACGGGATGGTGGACGAAGTTATCTGTAAATAAAAAAAAATAAATTAATGGTTTTCCGGGTTCTGGACAAAAAGCAAGCAACATATATTTATGTGGCATGGCTGTCTGGGATGATGGCAGTAAGGGGGATGGGAATGGGTGTACATTCTGGAAGATGACAATAAGTAGGAGAGCGAGGAGTAGTTGGAAGAGCTTGGAGAACAACAGGCTTACTGTTTTCCGGTGAGCGGTAGCAAGGAAAAAGATTTGTTGCAAGGCAACAAGCCGGAATGAAGAAAATAGGTGGCTATGTGCTTGGATTGCAAAAAAGACATCCAAGAACGGTTGTTCAAAGGCTACAGCAGGGAGGACGGATGGTGGTTGTGGAGTGAAGGTTGTGGCAGACAGACAAGTCGAGGATAATAACCAACGCGGAACGAGATACGGTCGGAGCACCACTCGCCCTTGCATACAGCCCAAGAAGGAAAGACTTGGTGATGTGAGGGCTTACGGGATGGCTGAGAAAACTGGCTAGGATAGATCCCGGTCCAACAGGAGGTTGGACTGTCCGACCTTGATGAGGAGTGGGAATCGTCGCCCCTTCCGCCCTTCTATTTGCCTATTTTATTCCCTTTAGAGAGAATTCCCTTCCTATTCTCTTTCCTGTCGTTTTATATCCTCTTCCTATTCTAATTCCTTGAATCTTCTAGTTCATCTCTTTCCAATTACATTTCCTAACTTTTTCTATCCCTTCCTATTCCAATTCCTTGTCTTTTTTAGTTATTTCCTATTCCATCTCTTTCCTTTTATATTACTTGTTATTTCTATCTACAAGCACTTAGTATATAAAGGCCACTTTGCTTGCTTAGAAGCAATCTTGATTTGTCTCTAATTTCAGTTTGTTACCTCTATGATGTTTCTCCCTTCCTAGGGAAGTACCCAGCGGTGAGAAGGTACTTCAACTGTAATTCCTTCCTGTTGTTGTCCAGTCCACTCTGATCCCTTTCGGCTGATGTCCAGTCCACCGCCAACATTTCTGATAACGAAGGAAGCCCAACCAAAATAGAAATAATAATATTATTGCTGAATTTCAAATATTACAACAGGACTAGTCAAAACAGGAAATAAATGATAAAAAAAAACAACACAAACTCCAATAAGTGTTGCAAAAAGATAAAATGCCTCTTAGGGATCGATCTACATCTGAAGCATCGTACAAACCCTTAGAGACGGTCATCACTTCAGACGAGTTATAGTCAGAGCACCTTCTCGTCGGTAGAGGGGAAGAATGCCTCAACAACAACGCTCAGAAATCTACACTCATCCAAATTTTCTTTACTAAGCACAAAACAACCCCTATATATAAGAGGGATTATGACTTATATTAGGCAATGCTTTCAATTAGGAAATAGAATAAAAATGAAGCAATATAACATACAAGGATTTATAATAGGGGATTTCATGAAAAAATAACGAAATAGAAAAGGTTGACATAAAATAGGAAACAAATAAAATAGGAGAATCATAAAAATGGGAAAAAAGAAAGAAAAACAAAAAAAAAAAGGAGGGAGGAATTTGGGTTGCTGTATTGTAGCAACTACAGGGTCACACCCTTGAAAACAGTGTCGTGTTCCTGATAAAGCTCCCGCATCAATCTTCCGGGGTTGGAGAAGCTTCAACCTCATTCGTCGCAGTTTTTAGACTAGAAAAATTTAGGTGGGGGTGATTTGGGTAGGGGCGGAGCTAGGGAACCCTAGGATAGGACTAGTGTTGGGCTAGCTCTAATACCAAATGATATTGGAGGAATCCCAAACCACAACAGAAATAATAATATTATTGTTGAATTTCTAAGATTATAACATGACTCGTCAAAATAGAAAATAAATGACAACAAAATAACAATACAAACATCAAAACATAACACAGACTTCAATAAGGGTTGCAGAAATATAAAACGGCTCTTTGGGGTCGAGCTACAACTAGAGCACCATTTGAACCCTTGGAGACAGTCACCACCTTGAACGAGTTACAACTGGTATCTTCTCGCCATCGGATATAGTTCCCAGAGGGGAAGAATACCTCAAAGGCAGCACTCAGAAAATTGCACTTATCCAAACCTCCTTTATATGAGGGATTAGGGCTTATATTAGGCATCTATTTCAATTAGAAAATAAAATAAAAATGAAGTAATATATAGGAAAGGATTTATAATAGGGGATTTCATGAAAAAGGAAATAGAAAAGGGAAGCAAAAAAATGGGTAGGAAATAAATATGAGAATCATAGAACAGGAAAGGAAGAAAGGGAAATGAAAAAGAGAGGAAATTTGGGCCGCAATACTGTAGCTACTATAAAGCCACGACCCTGAAAAAACTCTCGCATCAGTTTCCTGTTGTTGTCTAGTCCACCGCCAATCCTTCCTGCTATTGTCCAGTTCATCGCAATCCCTTCTGGTTGCTGTCCAGTCCACCGCCAACGTAGCCTGCTACTTTCTACTCCACCGCTAACCATTCCCGCTGCTGTCCAGTCCCCCGAGAGCTCTCTGTTTTTATTCTTATTTTGCATAGTCATTGTTGTACTTGCTCGTTTTGTTCATGTTGTTTATGGCGAAGAGTCATCGTCGTACTATTTGAATTCAACAATAAACATTTCCATTATGTCGTGTTTTGGATTAACTCTTGTATCACTTGGAGACACCAACTTCAGTCCCAACAGAAAATCACCAAAAACTGCAAACCTAAAAATAGGAACCACATATATAAGCCCTAGACAATTACGATTTGATCCTCTAATGGAAAGGAGGCGCCAATCCCTCATGGGAGAGCTGATCAACTCTCCCAGGTCTGAACAGGTTTGGTCCGGACGAAGGACATCACGAGAGAAGCCTGCGGCTCCCTCTAGGCTCTAATGGAAAGGAGGCGTCAATCCCTCATGGGAGAGCTGATCAACTCTCCCAGATCTGAACAGGTTTGGTCCGGACGAAGAACATCACGAGAGAAGCCTGCGGCTCCCTCTAGGCCAAACTCTCCCAGGTCTGAACAGGTTTGGTCCGGACGAAGGACATCACGAGAGAAGCCTGCGGCTCCCTCTAGGCCACACCCACAGAGCTATTTGTGTGCCCGCGCCATGACAGACATGTAAAAATTGAAGCATGGGTGTTAGATATGTAAATACATAAGAGTTGACTGGCATGTCTGTAAATCTTCCAAAATAAAAACTTAGAAAATGCACTGTTGCATACCTGGAGCCAAGCAGCCAGAGATGGAATGAACATAAGAGTTGCAAGAAGATGCAATATCAGTATGCCATGCTTGTAGTTGAAGATCTCTAACTGACTCTCCCCAAAGCCTTTGCCTAAGTTTGTGCTGCTATCATCGATAGGAAGAAGTGGATCATGAGCATCAATGGATTTTGTTTGAGATAGAAAAGATGAGCTCAAAGATTTGGGTTCATCGAACTCCCTCCTGCGAGAATTACTGCGAAATGAAGCCGCCAAAAAACTGTTACAGGAACCGAGAAAAAAGCATAAGGAAAAAGATAGCATCAACAGCTAAGAGCATATAATCGAACTAAAAGAGAAATTTACAAACTTATCACACAATTATTATGTATTTAACTATCTAACATCTATACTTTCATATTGACATACATGGCACTTTAGTACTTTAAACCAATGAAAAGATGTATATCACTTTCAAAAAGCGGCAAAAGTCCTATTTTTTATAAATTACACTATTTCCACCTTTTCATACATAGGTAAGGGCGCTTTAGCTGTAAAAATCAAAGTTTGGGTGTGAGATAAGTAAATGCATAAGAATTGGGTGCTATGTAAGTAAATTTCCCATATAATTATTGTACTTTTCCTTCCCACAATGTCATTTCATATTCCTGATTAAATCAAATTTAATCAAACTATCATTTCATTAAAAATTCAAAATATAGACATTATTAATAAAGATCACAACACTAGACCATTAAATTCAATAATTTGCAATAATGTACATCATAGGTTTCTATAATTTCAAAACACATGCTAATAATTTCATGAAATATTTACCTAAAAAAACTTACATTTCAACTTAAATATATTCACCAAATACACAGCTTACTAATAATAAGAGAGAACTTTTAAAGTTAGGGTTTATGGGTTACTGCTCGATCAATGCCCTATCTTGTGTCTGCACTAAATTGCTCTCCTTAAGCTCAAACCTGCCCAATTTCCAGAGTCACATGTAGATCTTTGTTCGAATTTAATCGCTAGCATCTAACTTGGCTTCGCATGACATCATTGCGGGCACATTTGCGTGTCAACCAATCACCTCTCCCTCATTAGCAATTCACATTCTCGATTTAGTATAGCAAGGCCCTTTGATTCTTCCCTTTTCTCACTAAAAGCTCTGCATGGAGGTTTCATCCCTCATATAGCACCCTCACACTCCATCTCCCCCCTCCTCCCCTCTAGCTAATAGAATCTGGTTCGAATTATCTTTTAACGGAATATTACAGAAGAGAAACAAGAAACTCAAGTAAGACATAGAGAAGAAAAAAATGACAAAAGATAAGGAAAAAAAGGTAAAGAAAGATGAGAAGAAAAAAAGGAATGATTAAGAGAATAAGAATAAGATTAAAAGAAAAGCATAATAGAAAAAATTGGGATTTTATAACAAATTTATTTTACGAACGAGTGATATTTCATCAGATTCGGCGATGATCAAAGTAATTTATTTCAAATTCAAGTTTTATCTCATTAATAGACCTTCATCATTAAAATGTTAGCTCGATTCAGCAACAAAATAAAGACGGAGGTCAACAATGCAATCATTAGATGTTTTTACAATTTTTGAAAGCTAGTCTCACATTCTTCTGTATATTCAAATTTAACATCTCTTATAAATTTGGACAAAAGCAAAACTATTTGTGAGAAACTCATAACAAATATTCTATAATGTCCGACTAAAAAAAAATTACAAAACTCTATAACATTCTTTAGTTTGTGTCATTTTATTATTGCTTACACTTTTTGAGGATCCAAATAGAGTTTTTCACCACTTATTAGGCGTCCCAGGAATACAATACTTCTTAACGAAAGACACTGCCTTAAAGTTTTACAAACAGCTGATACTTCCTCAATAAATCCAAAATTACCCTTAAATGATCAGTAAAAACTTAACCAGTCATAGAGTATATCAAAATATTATCAATGAATACAATCACAAACCAATCAATATATCACTTGAAAATCAGATTGATCAGATCCATAAAAATTGCAAATATATTTCTTAACCAGAAGAGGATTTTTAGAAATTTATAGTGATCATATCTTGATTCAATAGTTATCTTTGTTATATTTATTTCCTTTAACTTCGACCTCATTATATCTTGCTCTTGATTTGAAGAATATAATAGCACACTTCAACTGATGAAGTAAATCACCAATCTTTAATAATGAATATTTGTTTTTAATTGTTGATCTATTCAGCACAGTAATCGATCAACATTGTCACAGATCCATATTGCTTCCCAACAAAAAACACAAGTGCATGCAAGGTAAATTATTTGGTCTAATAAATCCCTTATCCATCCATTCTTGCAATTAGCATTTCAACTCTAGCAATTCTTTCAAGGCCATACAATAAAGTGATTTATAAATTATTGACGCTCGTGATTGTAATTCAATTTTTAATTTAGCTTCTCTTTAAGGTGACAATCCATATAGTTCTTCAAAAGATACAAAAAAAAAACGCTGTTCCAATTGGCATAATTTTTTTAATTCATGGGCAGTCATATTTAACATTTTAATCTTTGCCTTAAAAAAAACAAAAGTCATCACCTCTCATCCATTCAACAATTCTTATTACACGTTTTCACTCCTTCCAATATTTAATAATAATAGCAAAATATTGGATTAACCAGTACATTTCCAAAATCACATGGAAGTCATCATAGGCATCAAAATTAATTCTACCATCAAATTTCTATTTTAAATATTATTTTTAACAACACATTTTCTATTTGCATACGTTTCATCTTCTAATGACATTATCAAACATATTCCAGGCATAAAAGACAGCTTTAACTGACATACAAGCACAATGTTTTCTAATATAAATGAATATGAAGCGTGAAAATTAAACAGAATTGTACCATAATGATTGGGAGTCGAGCACTTCTTTTGGTTCAATGGCTGCTTGAAGTGTGACAGCTAGAACTCTTAACTCTTATTCGTTGATTGATCCTACTTTTTGAAATTTCTCATTTCTTATATAATGATGAGTTTTCATAGAATTGAGTTTTTCCAAAACTGTTATCCTCAAGACACCTCTTTTACTGAGTTTGTCCTTGACAACCTTGTGGTTTATTGTCTTATTTGCAGACTATCATTCCCAGTTTTGCTTGAAACAATTCTACTTATTCTCAACCCATCTAGCACTTTCCACTAAAAGTAAGAATTCAATTAGATAAAAGTGGCAAAAAAAATTCTCCTAAATCCATGCAGATGGTCATTTTAGTATCAAGAATTTTTTAATATGGGCTGATATAATTCCTACAAAAGACGATTTCATCCCAATTTAAATAATTTGGGGATTAATTTGACACTTTTATAGACTGGGACTAAAATGGCCCCATGTAAATAGCCAGTGGACTATTTTGACACTTTACACAACTCAATTATATATGAAGGCAAAACTAATCTTAATTGAACACAAAAACGCCTCAAAATTGTGGGATTTTTTCTCCCTGGTATGGACAAAATGAGGAATATACCCAGATAGGAATATAAATTTTATCATAATTGCATGATTAACTTTGATCCCTAAATTAAGTTGAAAACTTTATCGTGCAATGTTAATCTAGCTATGATGCAATAATCAGTAACCACATTTATAAAATCATCCGCTCAATCACATAGATAAAAGGAATCATTCTAAATCTTTCATAATGTCGAGCATGCTTCCATCTCTCCATTTCTCCTAACTAATGTGGGAGCTTCTCTTGCTCTCCCATGACTTGTGCGATTTCACAATTGCGGTATCGATCCCACAATCGTGGAATAGATCCCATAATAACAGAATCGATCCCACAACTATGGGATAGCAAACTGAGGATGATAATCATTGGATTTTTGTGATTTCGCAACAGTCTAAGAGTAGAAACAAGATTACCAATGGACTAAATAATAAAAAAAAAATTAATATGTTGGATAATTTAGTATGATTGTGTGTTTTGGAGATTATCCCTCTGATTTCTAACCAAATGAATGATGGTTTTTTTTTCTTTTTACAAATGCTGTGTTTATAGATTGTGTAAGAGCAAAAGGTGTACGGCACTGTTTCATTGTCCCCTTCACTACTTTCAAAAGAGATAGCTGCCAACAACAGATTTAAGGCCATAACACCTCTCAAATGTCGTCAATCACCCCTATTGTCACTTCCTTGTTATTCCCCACCCATCCCTCGCTACATCTGCCTGCCAAAAACTTGTAGGAGCCCTAAAACACTAACATCTGGTATCTGAGTTCGATAAATCCTAAACTTTAGAAACTTATTTTCCTGATCCCAAATCAAAATTCACAAAAAAAAAAAATCCCTACCACATACCATAACCATTTCAACCACAATTCTTAGCTCTAACCCTAAATTTTCACAAGCCAAATTTCCTACCTCCACTAAAAATTTACATCGACACATACCACCTAAATCTAAGCCGATCACCCTTGATTTGCAATCCTATATCCATTGAAATCCTAATCGAAAGACAAAGACACTGCCGCCTAGGAGAAATACTTGAAGAGACAAGTCTACTAGTCAATCTACAGGTCACAACTTTTTTGAAATAGTTTATGGGAGAAATCTCTATACTTCATTAAAATTAATTCCTCTACTTCTAACTATTGAGCCTAGCACTGATGCAAAGATCAGAGCGAAGGATACTTTAGCATTGCATGAACAAGGAAAAAAAAAAAGAAATGGATAAGCATAAATAAAAATATCAGGAGGCAAAAGGTCAAAAAAAGCTGAGGAAGGTAAGTTGGTACTAATCCGAAGGAATAGGTTCTCTTCAGATACTTTAGAAAGCTCAAACTAAGGGCTGATGATTTCCTCCGGATTGCTTGAAAGATTAATAATGTCTACAAAATTGATCTACTAGAGAACTAAGATATTTACTACATTCAACAGATTTATCACAATACTTAGAGAACCCAATTGTGCAGGAAATGAAGAAGAAGCCACTCCTCCCCAGAAGAATAACGCAGACAAGATGCATGACAAGATGAGATTGATCAAAACAAAATTGCATGTTGTGGAGCCTAGAAGGAAAGATTTTCCTGCCTATTAGCTGTTGGGCGTGTGGGCCCCTATCTTGATATTATTTGAATTAGAATTATAGTCGTTTTTGCTAGGGAGCTATTTTATATGTTGCTATTTCTTGGTTTCGAGAATTTGGCTTTTGATTTCTGCAATAAAGATTATATTTTTGGGCTCCAAAAATTCAACTCCCT